TTTGGTGTTGTGAAAAAACTCCAAAAATTATTTGAACTTGGAATATTCCTGTGTGAAATCATAAAAAATTGCAAAAGTAAATCCTTATTCAATACTGTTTTTAAACCACAACGGAATATGCAGGAGTTGAGTTGAAAAACATAGAGTAATGTGGATTTACACATGTATTTTAAAAATTCCGCTTTCATTTTTCGTTTCTCCTGCTAAAGTGATCAAATTAATCTGAAATCTTTACTGTAAATAATCCCCTCCTTTTAACTTTTGAACAAGACAAGATATCAAGATCGGATATTTACATAAAAGGTATACCATATTTAGTTTTTTTTCCGTAAAAGAGGCAATAGTGTTGCATCACTCGCCGCCTAAAGGGCGCTACCAACTTTTTAATGAGGTATTTCAAATTCTCTATCCAAATTATTTTTGGAAATTGGATGAGGCTTTCTTAACATTCTCAAGTGATGGGCAGTTTTATATTCGTAAATGTACAAGGTATTTAATTTTGTTGCAAGCACATCTTTTTCTATCCACAAGTTCAGAAAAAAACTGTGGCGTCATATCAGGTTATCGAGTGCGCTCTTTTACGGTTGCGTTCGCCTGTGTTGTATAATTGAGTTTCCAACCGACATCGAATACATTTTTTCTTAAATAACTCCTTGACACGAACAGAAAACCGCTAATCAGGAAGAACTGATCCGATTTCGAAAAATAAAAAAGTGTTAAAATACTAATGAAATGAGGTATCACTCCTCTTTCCACTTGAAAAAAAGTTAGTAGTGCCCTCTTGGGCATATTTGTGTTTCTTATCAAAAAGTACTAAAAATTATACTTTTTTACCGTCCGTTTTGTCGGACCTTCATAACTTGTTCAGTTAAAAAGTTAAGAGGGGGGGACTATTACGTCCGCACTGTATATTAAGTAGCTATAGAGAATGTAATGAAATGCATAAATGGAGCACCGTTTTGAAGTCAAACTACCGTAAAGTTAAACCAAGAGAACATTAAATAATATTCGCCTCATCTGAAGAAAATATTTGATCCAAACATTAACCTCGTTCGACTCGAAAGTTACTTTTCCTAAAACAGTATAAGGCATTCAGTGAACATACACTGGAAGTGCCGAGAAGTTGATAAATCTGAGAAAATAGTGGGCTGTTCAAAAAATGAGGTGAATGTTCAAATATTGCGGGCATTTGATTAGAGATTTTTTATTTATTTTTAACTTGGTACACTTCTTTGGATTATATGTTCGCAGTTTCTTGCTGTTAAGTATGTTTAGTTTGTTGGTGAGAGGCATAAAAGTTAGAGTGTTTTGCGTGTTCGGCGATTGTCTGCTATTGAAAAAATTGGATCAAAGAAGGTCGAGATGTGAATGACCACACTCGCCCTTGGCGCCCNTGAGCTATCGCTCATATTTTTAGAACCTTTATCTCTATTTTTCATGTTTTCGAACTTGTTGATTAGACTATTAGTGAAGTTGCTGAGGATGCTGGCATATCGGTTGGCTCATGACATGCAATTTTTTTGGAAATTTTTGGCATGAAGCGTGTGACAGCGAAATTCGTTTCAAAATTGCTGAATTTTGACCAAAAAACCGTCGCATGAGCATCGCTCAGTTCATGATGAATGACGTCAACGGTGATCCAGTTTTGCTTAAAAGGGTCATAATTATAGTGACGAATCATGGGTATATGCTTATGACATCGAAACCAAAGTTCAATCGTCCCAGTGGAAGAGCCCAGGAGAGCTGAGTCCAAAAAAGCACGCCAAGTTCGATCAAATGTCAAGGTTTTGCTCACTGTTTTCTTCGATTACCATGGCGTAGTGCTTCAGGAGTTCTTGCCACATGGTCGTACAGTCAATAAGGAGTATTATGTTGAAGTTATGCGCCGCTTGAGAGAAGCAATACAAAGAAAACGTTAGGTATTGTGGAAAACGATTCATGGCTTTTGCATCACGATAATGCACCTGTTCACTTGTCATTGCTTGTTTGTAATTTTTTGGCGAAAAACAATGCCTCAGCCACTGTATTTACCAGATTTGCCCCCTTGCGACATTTTCTGTTTCCAAGATTGGAGAGACCCATGGAAGGATGGCGTTTCGTGTCAATTGAGGAGATAACCGAATCGCTGAGTGAGGACAGACGAACTGGTGCGAGGATTGGAAAAAACGCTGGCACAAGTGTATTAAATCTGAAGACAAAAATCTTCGGTGTAACATTTTATTTTGTATTATCATTCAAGTATCAGATAATAAAAAACAAATATAGTATCAAAGATGTATGAATTCTTGGTCATAAACTGGGGGCAAATTTAATTTTGTGCATTTTTAATAAATTTTGAGTACTTGTCATCCAAAATAAAATAACAAAAATATTAAATCGATAGCTTTTTACAGTTCCAAAACAACATCTGTTCCCAAACACTCTGCGACTTTAAAACTGCGTGTTTGTCGAAAGCTGGTGTGACGTCACTAGATATATGCGATTTGTACAGCGTATGAACTGTTATGAGGCGAAGCATTCAATGTTTGATGTCCAGAAAGTTTTAATAAGCCAGACACAAGCAATTCACCACAAGTGAGCTTATCCATGAATATAGACTACTTCAATAAGAATTAGGACTCAATTTATCAAATTTGATGTTTCTGAATTCCAGTTATTCAAATTTAATTTTTTTGTGAAATAAAATTGAAGCTATATGCAAAGTCTTGTAAGCTTTTTTATTATTGGTTCTCAAAATGGCGATTCCTAGCGGGCTTTGCGTTTCATATATCTGGTGACGTAAGATAATTTTTTCCACCTATATTTTATCAAATTGTGTTGATTTCATTTTCGAATAAAAAAAAGTAAAAATGACGTATACAAAAAAATAAATAAATAACACTTGTTAGATCCATTTTGGAATATGCTTCTATTATCTGGAGTTCTCAGTATCAATGTTACAAACATACCATTGGAAGAATTCAAACTAAATTTCTTAGATACTTACACTTTTACAAAAATACAAACTGCCTTCCCTAGAGAAAAGTCAAGTATTATCATACTTTAACCTTGTGAAGAAGTGTTTCAATATGATGTTGCCGATTAGAATGTTCTCATTGAATGGTTGGTTCAATAAAAAATACACAATATGAATGATCCCTGTCTTCTCTCACAAATTAATTTTAACGTACCTACCTGCATATAGAACAAGATTATCTTGCACATTTTATATTGTTTGCAAGAACAAACCACTAGGAGAATGCTCCTTTAAACTCTGTGTGAAGTCTATAACAATGTACAAAGTGACTGACATTCATTTACAAAGTATTGCAAGCTTCAGAGGCAGATTGTGAAAAATGGTTTTTTTCTCGCTCCCGGGAGCCGCCTGAATTGTCCATTTCTTCCAAGTCTCCGGTAAACACTGCAGTCTCAGGGGCTTATTGTGTTTTTCCCCCATCTTTTTCATAACATACATTCCAACAATCTGGTTCCTTGAACTAGTCTGCAGGGGCAGGGGTCTCTTCTGGACACAATTTGGGTTGTCCATGTGATCAAAAAGCGTCATATCTGCATAGAATATGACCAGCTGTCTCGATAATTTTATTGCATTGCCTGCAGCAAAGGTCTCCGTTGTACAACCCTATTTTGTTCAGGTGTTCAGCGAGAGGTCCTATGATTTTTCTGAGCCGATCCCTGCTCTTTTGTGTCAGTTATTCGGTTCTCTATTGAATTGTTTAGTTTTTACTATCATGATATTACTTATAAAATCTCATGTGATATTAGGCTACTCGCGTAGAATTTGTACAGAAAATAAGTATTCTTTTTCAAAATGTACACCAATTTTGGCCAACATGAAGATAAATTATGAGAAAGGCTTGTGATTATTAAATTTAAAATACTTTATTTCCGGCAAAAGTGACAAAATGTGTTTGAATTCGAAATATTGCTCACATCACCGGATACTTCCGACTTGTTTCTATTGTTGGAACAGTTCAGAAAATATTGACTAAGCTGGTGCAAATCCTCTTCAACATTTGTTCACAACTGCAGAAATTTTTCTAAGTTGCTCCGAGAGCAGTGCCCATATGTAAGAGCAGTTATTCACGTTGAATTTGAATTACTATATATTCTAAAAGGTAAAACTGGAACCTCGGGCTTAAAATGAATCCAAAACAAATGCTACTCCCTCTAACCAAAACTGCAACACTCTTATCGACGCGCGTTTTACTAATCAAGTAAGCGTCATCAGGAGATGAACAAAAATCTAACTCCAATTCTCCTTTCAATTATCTCTAAACATGTTAGAAGGGCATGAATACAATTGTGGAAGGAATATGTAATGGCAAGTGATTAAATATTTTTTTGTCAGGGTTACTTTCGGATATTGCTCAAGATGTAGATCTACAGCTTTCTACATAATTTTCGTTAGTTTTATGGAATAAGTTTTTTTTTTGCAGCATCAACTGCTAGGTTATTAGCCGGAATAAGTTATTATAAATCATTAGGTACGCTTTCTAATGTCATTTTTGTCATCGAAATGAGATTGAAGTATACATGCGAAGCATACAAGCAGAGATACAAGCGAAGCATTTGCTGTCTGCAGACGGTAATAGAGTGGTGATCTGTGACCTTAATGTTCTGAGTTTTTTAGTATTCATTACATATTAGTTCTAGAACTGCAAACAGTATCAGAGGAAAACGTCTATCACCTAACTTTGGCGCCAAACTATAGTTCGTTTGACCAATAGAACACTTTTACTCTCCTGAAACTGAGCCAGGAACAATTTTTCATAGACCAAAAGTATACTGTGCAACAGACAAAAGCTTTGTGAATGCCACTAAATAGAAAATATGGGCATTATTGTTTATGTATGTGGTTAATCGAAAAGTTAAAGTTTTCAACTTCTGATTTTTTATTTGTTTAATTTTCATACAATGCAAACAAACACGGAACTAAAACTTGAGAAGAAACCTTTAGTGCAAGGAACAACTTAATAACGAAAATACCCCTAACTGAGTCGGGAAAACGTATGAACATCGAAATTTAGCGGCTTCGAAATTCGTTTGTTAAAATTGTTCCAAAATAGTTTATCGTCGATTGATTTGCTGTAGGTAAATTTATTTTACGTTTTTCTTCAACTAAATTTATTGTTTTTCAATGTAACAATAAGGATACACTACAAAAATACACTTTTGTCTATTTTCCACTATATTTCTTTATTGTTGACCGGTTTCGGCTATTACACCATTTTCAAAGAAATATAGTGGAAAATAGACAAAAGTGTGTTTTTATAGTGTATTCTCAGTGAACATGAATTTCCACAAAATGAACAAGTCGTCAATCGAAGAAGTAACAATAAGGAACAATTAATTGGGTTGATTTTGGGAATTGATTTCACATCAGTTTTATTTCAGAATTGATTTCACAGTACTTTCATTTCAGAATTGAACATACATGGTCTAGTAATTTCAAAAAACTTATCAGACTATATAGTTATAGCGTATATCCACGTCACTTAAAATTACAGTGCTCAAATGTATGACAATGGAAATGGTAAATTTTAATATTAACTTTCTTGGAACTCAAGTCGAAACTGCATTCAACATCGATCACATTACTGATAGATTTTGAAGACTTCACTTTAATGAAAATTATGTTTGGTCAAGCAATAAACTTATTTGAAACCAATCCTTTCACCGAATTTACATACTCAATACCCACATACTCAATATAGAATTATTTACAGTTCTGGGTCATAAGAGGGGAAACTTGTATCGCCAACTGATAGTTTTTGTAGTTTTGAGTTTTATGATTTCAATGATTTACTGTATACCATGATGCCGCATAATGCAGTCTGCACAAAAAAAAGTTGTGGCTGCAGAGTGTTTGGTATAGATCTCTCATTTTTGTCTTGTTGTAAAAGTTGCCTCTGAAAAACTACGAGACTTTACGATTGATGAAACAATCACTTCCACCTCAGACAGCAGATCATTTCCTTGAGTTTGCTATGTAAGTTTATGATTTATATAAATGCTACAGGTTTATTTCGATCTATATATTCATGACTTATATTTACATTAATAAGATTGAATATTTTTCACAGGAATGTTTTGAAGAATAACTAATAGTGAGCATGATCCTACCACTCATGAAATGTATTTTCTGGAATGTTTTTCCTTTGATTTTTTAAAATGTTTCTCCGCAATGCCTTGTGTTAATTGCGGTTGTCCATCAAAGGTTCCTCCAATCATATTAATAGAACCTGAATTTTTTTGTCTAAAGCTTCTTCAAGTTTGCTGTTAATTTATGTACTAATTAATTGATTCACATCGATTAATTATGTACAAACAATTAGTTTTTTTCAGAAGCTAATTCCTTAAAAACATTTTTTTTGATATGTTTACAGAGCCATGTGTGATAAGGAAAACCAAAATTTTGAATTGAACAATACGAATATGTATGAGGTGACCCAAGAAGATATCAAATCTCTTATAAATCTTTTTGCTGAAAAATCCTACAATGCTGGAACAGAGAACCCTGAAGTGATATGAAGTTTGCCGTTTAATTTCCTGATCAAACTCAACTGCTTAATTTTTTTTAGATGAATGCAATTTTACAGAGTTGTATTCAGTTTATGGAATTGGATTATAGTGTCGCAGTCGTTCAGAATGATCTTGGTGAGTTGAGTTACAACTATCCTCGTCAGCTGCCAATATTGGAATATGAGAAAAAGTGTTATGCTGTGGACCACAATTTATCTCTTGAAAAGACAAATATGTCTGCTAGAAAGGCTAGTTTGTCTCCTCCACAGACAAACAACATTCAAAAAAGGATTGATGTTCAAAAAACACGTGAAGTATTCAACAATGCCAAGTTTTCTAGGTACCATTTTATTCAAATCATCATTTTTTATTTTCTCTCAAATGTTTTTTAGATGCCGCACACGCTTTCCAATTCCTGTAATTATGTATAAAAACAAATATATCTGTCGTTCCTCAACATTATCTAGAGGTTTTGAAATTTATGGAAGGTCTGGTTTGGAACTTTTTGACAGTTATATTTTACAATTTCTTGAAAAGTCATCAAAGGATGAAAATCAAGCATCTGATGGAACACTAACAGAGTCTGTAGGGGAGTTAGAGGACATAGCCGAAACAGCTGCAAACAATGAAAATAGCGGAACTGCTCCTCCTCAATTCTTTGATCAAGTTCGTAACAATGATATTGAATTACTGAAGTATTTCAATGTGGAAACTATTGTTGATCTTATGGTGGAAAACCAGAAGGTCAAATATGGAATGTAGTAAGTTACTCTGTATTTTATATTTGTATTTCAATTCTGTACCATTCAAATTGTCAATTAATATTTCATTTTCGAAAGTTCAAGACCTATTAGAATGCTTTTCTGATCATCCTGGGGTACTTCACCATGCTGCAAATGATTTAGCTAACCTTGTCGAAATAATATTGAACAAAGTATGAGAAAAGAATTTATGAATACTTCATACACCAATATAAACTAATAATTAGGTAATTGAAGTAATTCATTGTCTTTCTTACAGTATGTCATCTTCTGAAAAAGTTGAAAAATCGTTATATGTAGATTTCAAACTGATCTCTATGCCATACCCTGGTTGTGAATTTTTCAAAGATTTCCGTGACCGAGCATATGAAGCTGAAGGACTCCATTTCAATTTTGATCACTCCCAATGTGATGCCTCTCTCAATATTCCTGAAGATCCATCTTTGGCTGCATTGGAGATAGATTGGGATACATATAAGAGTTGGGATTTGATAACCCTGACACAAAATTATATAAAGTTCATTCTCCAGGGATTTGAGGTGAGTGAAAATGTTTTTCAAGTGGCCCTAAGCTGCTTTTTTCACCAATCAGCAGTCCTGTAAAAATAACTCTTAGAAACATTTCAATGACATATATCTCCAACCCAAATGTTGGAGAGATATTTCTGAGATACATGATGTTGAAATCAAACAAAAAATTCCAAAATGAAATTAACTGTTCGAAATATCTATCTTCTGCAAATATGTAAGCTTCAGCTCTCCTTCTCATTGACTTGCGTACTCTTTGTTCCTGGAGTCTTCCTTATTGCTTCACAGGAAACTATTGATTGACTGTACACCAAAGTCTTAAGATGTTCCCAAAGAAAATAATCAAGACTGTTGTGTCTGGGGGTGTAACTAGCCATGAGTTATGCTTTAAATATTTGCTTGCCAGAGTACTAAAATGTGCATAATCCACACGCAGTTTCGCATTAAAATAGGAAAATCTCTTAACAGAATTGGCTAATTATCTTCAAGAAATTGACGATGAGTATGTCCATTTAATCTGTGTAGTGAAAAAAAAGGTCCAATTAGGTAATCTCTAATAATTCCAGCCCAGACATTTAATGAGAACTGCTCGTGGTGATGAGATTCCATGATTTCATGAGAATTTTCTTCGGCTCAAAAATTATCATGAAAATTTATGATTCCCTTTTTATTAAAACTAGCTTCGGCCGTGAATAAAATTTTTCTGTCAAATAAAGGATTTCCCGTAACTTTTTGGAGAAACCATTGGCAGAAATTCACTCGTAAGGGAGAGTCTCGAGGAAGTTGAGCCTGATCATGTTGAGTGTGCTGAATAATCATGCAGAATACTCCATACTAGAATATGAGAGATATTCAAATTATTGGCAAATTGTCTCGTACTTATTTTAGGATTTTCTTCAACTGAATTTAAAACAGCTACCTCAGTTGCTGGAGTTCTTGCAGTCTGATGTGTTCCTTTCAAGTGATGATTTGGTCCCAAACGGCCTGTTTCACATAATATGTGGTTGCTTGAAATCGTTCGACGAGCATCAGGAACCATGCTAGTTGGTAAACGCTCTTAATACAGTCACCTGGCTTCATATACTCCAAGGATTATCGCCGTTCAGGTCAGCGTTCAATTATGAAAGACCCTGAATATTTGCTAATTTATAATTTCTTTTTCAGAACAATACTTCTAGCATTTTGGTTCACTGTATAAGCGGATGGGATCGTACACCTTTATTTATCTCCTTGCTTCGTTTGAGTCTTTGGGCAGATGGACTGATTCATAATAGCCTTGATGAATACCAAATACTTTATTTAACGATTGCTTATGATTGGATGTTGTTTGGACATCAACTCAACAATAGATTGAACAAAAGGGAAGAAATATTTTTCTTCTGTTTCTTCATGTTGAAGTATTTACCCAAAAACGAATTTGATAACTCCTCAGGAAGGTAAGAAATTCAATTAAAACAGATATTTTCTGTGAATGACTGACGTTGAGAGTAAATTTCTAGACAAAACATGAAAAATAAATGAACAAAAAGTAGGTAATGATTTTGATAATTACGGATATGATGATGATGAGGTGCTGTTCAATAATGAAATGAAGAATGTGAGGTGAACAGTTCTAATAATTCCACTTTAAGGTGCAAATCTCGAGAAACCAATTGAAGGATGGTGAATTTACCGAGTTTTGAAACTTATTGAGTTTACTGAAATATATGTGACAAACAAATCATAATGACATATTTGCTGTTATTCTGTTTTTGACTTTTCTTATGAATTCTATACTTGAAAATCCTTTTACATTTTTTTCGTATCAGGATCAAGATGGTACACTTCTTTTTCTTGTTGAATATATCTTTTATATTTTCTTATCGGTTGTCATATTTCCAATTACTATTTTTAATCTTGCAAGATGCATGAATTTCCATCAAAAACGTACCACAAGGCAGAACTGCTAGGAATTTTTTTAATCCAAAAATCCAAAAGCACATTACGTTTGTTTATAAGGGGGACAATTTTAGAACTACAATCCATAGCAAAACTTTCAACTGTCTAAGCATGGGGGTGTTGCCTCCATTTTTTTTAAAGGAAAGTGGTTCTAGTAAAACCTCATTGTAAAGATCTCTCCATTCCCTATCCATTGCTGCTTCGCTTTCGAGAATCAGTTCACTTGTTGAGATGGGAGATAAGAAAGATAAAATGGAGCATTGAAATGCAAATTATAAGTTTTTCCAATAAATGCAACAGTTAAATTGATTTTAAATAAAACCTACCATATAATCTGAATGTTGAAGATTGATTATTCCTTCGGAGCCATTTGCAGTTTTTGAGGTTCGGCGAGTAAACAGTGCATCACAATTTGAGAATGATTGTTCCACTGGATTCTACATCTGGTTCTATTTTGATTGTTTTATATGTGAATAGCATTAGCTTCACAATTACCGAAAGTTATTACCCTGCTTATGCTGATGATTTTTCATCGATTGCGTCGGCACCTAATATCACAGAACTGAAGAATAAGTGGGTGAATATTACCACGTATCAGATTTTTCTCGCCATGACTCATTTTTCAATACTGTTAAAATGGAGGTAGGTCAGTTGACAAACAAATTGATGTAAATAAACTCTCATTAAAAAGTAACAAAATAATGTTCCCGTGCTTATATCTTCACGAATTCATGATATAAAATACTTATTAATAGTTAACAAATAATATCTTAATTTAATTCTTTGAGGTTTCTTTTCATAAATCTAGAGTAGTTTCTCAGTATCTAATATACTATTCTAGACTCACTGTGTCTGTTTCCCGGACGTGTCAACCTCAACACAAGTGTATTCAATTTATAGAAAAAACTGGATACTTCGAAATCTAGCAAATATTCTGGAAAAGGTTCATGTAGAAATTATTTTGAAGTATTCAACATTTCAACCGTTTATGTATTTGGATTGTGTGTGTATGTTTTCAAAAGTAGGTCGGCATTTGGAAGCTCCGTATCTTCTAATATATCAAGAATATAGTCATGCAATCATAAGACATGAATGAGTTGAAATAAAACGTTCTTGTAGCAAATTTTCATATTTCTTAGTGACATGTATGCTTTTTTGTTGGAAATAACTCCAAATCAGATATATTTTGGGAATTAAAATATTGAGCAGTTTTTCAATACGAGTATTATTCAAAATTCATTTGCAGGAATTCTGTAAATAACCAGGATCCGTTAGAGGCATCAGTTTTTGATGAAACTAGTGGTACTTCTCCAATTGCTAATCCAACTGGTCCAAGTTCTGATTATTCAGAATCACCCATGGAAGATAGGGATACTGATGGCTTTTCCATGGTTGGACCAACTGGTTCACTAGAAGAGTTGTCCTCTGAACCTGAAGATCAACGGTATGGTTTCTTAGTACTTGTCCATATACGATGGATCTAATTAAAATATGTTTCAAATTTACTTTCAGTTTTGAGAAAAGTTGATTCATGGACTCAAAAGTAAATTCTGATTCAATTCATTAATAACTGATTTAAGATTTTATTCGTTAACAAATGAGCTTTTTTTAAATATTTTCTTCAAACTATTTTCTTTGGCTTTCACTACTTCATCTTTATACAAAAAAATGTGGAATACGAAGCAAAGGAAAGACGAAAATAATCAAGTTCAAAACAAACTCTTCACAAAATGTGTATATCTCACATAATATGTGGTTGCTTGAAATCGTTCGACGAGCATCAGGAACCATGCTAGTTGGTAAACGCTCTTAATACAGTCACCTGGCTTCATATACGTTCCCGTCAGCAAATCCATACGGTATTTTTAAAATTCACCATGTTTTTTTTAACAAATAAGTTTTTATGACGTGAAGAATATCAGGTATCTAGCTAGAGAAATGTCAAAATTGTTTATGTTGGCAACAACAAAATTAGCACTCTAGATGTATCTAGCCCACAAAATGATCCTACAACTTCAAATGGCCGATTTCGCATAGGCACAAGCAAATGAATGCATTTCATTTTCTACCCCAAAAACCGTTCGCCAGACGAAAAAAATGCCAGAGCCCATTTTTATGAGATGATAGAGGTCAATTACAAAAATTATATTTATTTTAAAAAAGATAAGACACGCCCGAGGAAGCCATTGTATGGCAAAACACGTGTTGCGTTTTTGTAAAACTGTCTAGTGAAAATCACACAATGACCTGTTTTTAGAATACGACAGTTCAATACAATTAAAAAAAAAACTTCTACAAGATATACAAAAAAACCCTCAATTTTCTTTTTATGCATCAATCCGTGCCGATTAGTTTACCCCAAAAAGTTACTGCTTAAATTCAAAGTATTTTTCACAAAGAAAAATGTTTCATTTATCACTAACTTGTATTCAATAATTTTGCCTATCAAAAAAAGAGCTAAGAAATTATGCAATACTTATCTTAACGTGTCGGAGGCTAAACTCGGCTTCTGGACAAAATTTGAGTTTTTATGCAGTTTTTCCTTTGCTGATTATTTTTATTTCTTAACCTCTTCGACAGATGTTGAAGGAATTTTGAAATGTGAATTAGGTCAATGTCGTTGATTGACTCCTGGAACATTGGATGTATTACAACATGTTCTCTGATATCAGTCTGTTGCTATTTCGCCACTATCCATATTTTTCTTCAAGACGGGTAGCCAAGTACGATCCATTTCTAAGGAGCTGTTCGAAATACACTTCTCTCCAGATGTGGTCTCTTAGAGTGGGGTTCATTGGCAATCATTTTTGTTTTGTTCCATTCAACTCAATGTTAACTATCACAGATTGTGGACGGTAACAATACCCAAAGAAGGTCGATAAAAAACAATAGATTGTATCGAATTGCTCCGAGAAATGTTTTTCTGTTTCTCTACCAAGTCTGTGTATCAGAGAAAATTTAATTTAGCCTATAGCTAGATGAAAAAAAACTAATAAATAGAGTTTATTCTATGATTTTCACTATAAGGGTTTTACAAAAACCGCGACACGTGTTTCGCTATACAATAGCTTCTTCAAGCATAACTATAGAATACATTCTATTTATTAGTTTTTTAAATATGGATTTTCATCAAGTATCGGCCAGTTCTATTCAATTATAGCTA